GATAAAGTCGATGGTACATGTAACGAACTGTTGAATTTTAGTTGATACAATGTTTTCATTTTAGAATTGAACAGAGCATTTATGATATCAACATTGTTAGAATGATTCACAATCAATCCTGTTACTATTCCTTTCGTTTCAAAGCACTGCTGAAGATCACGTTCGTGGTCCATAAAATCAGAAGCAGAAAAATCGAGCGTTCGATGTATTCTGTTTTGTAGCAAGAGTTGAGTAAGCATTGAAATATGTCCATCTTGATAACTATCGTAGAAGCGAACTTGGAAGGATTGATTGTTGAATTCTGTAGTCATACACTTGCAGACATACTTCGTATTTCCAAATAGATTGTAAACACAAACAGCAAATATGTTAAGACACTGAATCGAAGAGCGATTGATGACAACATCAAGCAGCCTGACAAGATCATCTTCCTTAACTGTACACCCTTTAAATGTCAATTTCAGAACATTGAAACCTTTGGTGAGAGCTTCACACAATATTTGGACACTCTTGCTACTCAAATCCTTTGGACTCACCACTGCTTCTCTAGTTTTCATATCGAATTTGCCTCCCATGGCTTCCAGCTGCTCAATATATTTGAACATCGCGTTATTAAAGCTGATATCGTCATAGTGCTCTAAGCACACCCAACGCACATGTCCATCAACGGTGACTGTTCGGCACAGGTTTCCTAAACTACGTTTATTATCGGCAACGTCCAGATACTTTTCAACTTCACGCAGATCTAGTCCTTGAAGTGGCACTCCACATAACTTATCTTGTCTGAACATTGTGGACTTTGACTGTGTCCATTGATGGTCGACACGATCGAGTAATTTCTCAACCAAGTTTAGCTGCTGTTCCATCTCTTTCTGCTTATCAGGTGTTGGTAAGATCGTATATATACCGCTATCAACGGACTCTGACGCGCTATCCAGTTGCGGAATAACAAAATTTCCGCGTTTGAATATGACTTGAGCAATTTTCAATGTTGTTCGTAAATAAGGTGCATACTTGACGATGAATTCTCTTGTCTTTTTAATCGAATAGCCGCTATGTAGAGCAATATGGATTTTATCAGGCTCATCTGAACATTCACATAGAAAATAGAGTTTGTAGTGGAGATGGTACCACTCTTGCACCGTATTGAGTATTGTCCGATCATTGTGCTTTGCCGGAAAAATGAAAAAGTAGCGAGGTGTAGTGAACTCATGCAATTCATACATCTGTGTCATAATGTACTTTATTTGATTTATATTCGTTTGTGTATTGGCGAGAATGAGGTCGGCTTTTGAGTCGAGAGGTTCAAGGGTAGTACACATGGCATCATTCGATTGCTCTATAATAAAACCGTAAATATAAAACTCTGGTGTTACAAGTAGCCATATTCATATTTGCAGTGAAACATATTTAAAAAATACAAAACTTTACAAAAATTCGATAGATATCGTCTTGTAAGATATATTTTTCTATTTTTATGCAAAAGCTGATCTCATAAAAAGTGTAATTTACTTTGTATATTCTATATAATTATTTCGTCTTGAAAAAATTTCGCGCTCAAAACGTTGATGACAAATGTAATGATGCTCTATTTTCATAGGATTGAAAGCTTATTAAATATAAACTGTAAAATGATGTTAGAAATTATTTTTCATATTTATAGCGATTCAAAATTATTTTGAACTTACTAGTTGTAAATTGTTGGTTTAAATAAACTCTCCGTCGAAGCGAAGATACTCGAAATGGACATTGATCATCATTTGTTTCTTTCATTACACCATCACAAACATCATACATTATTTCATCAATAGTTAAATTCGGTTGATCAATATGTTGAAGAAGATGATATGTAAATAAACTATTTCGATCATTTATTGATTCATCTAATGCAACTTTATTTGTATCATATGCAAAACCAATAAATGAATTAGGAACCGCTCGTATACTTGAAAGATCGTTAGAATTTGATGATTCGCATACAAAACTATTTCGAGAACAATTTAGAAGAAATATAGATGCTGATGGGCGACGACCCATAATCTTTTCAAGTATAGCTTGAGCATTTATTGCTCGATATTTGAGATCAGTATTTGTTGTAATTCGATCTTCATCAATCGGTATGAGAAAATTTAGATGACTCCATTGATATCCATGACCCGAAAAAAAGAAAATTACAAGATCACCTGGATTTATCTTATCATTAAACGCTTCGATTATTCTATCCATCTCTTCATATGTTAAATTAGCACCAACTGTGATTTCAAAGTTGATGTTATGTAATTTTTTAGCAAGATCTTCAGCATCATTGATACAATATCGAAGTTGACTATTTTTCTTGTATTCATTGTTTCCAATGAGAAGAGCTCGTTTTGTATGAATTGAGTTATTTGATAATGAAAATTCGGAAGCCATAATCTATATATGAATTTAAAAAGATTCACTAAGTTTCATTAAAAACAAACGGACAAGACTAGAAGTAGTTTTTGTTGAGATTTCTGTTTGAATCTACAGAGATTGTGAAAACTGTTGTTTTTGCATTGTATAGACTAGTCTATTCGATTAGAATTTAATTAATGATACATTATAATAGAAAAGATACTTTTAAAAGAGCGTTTTATATGAGTGCGAGTAATATAGTGTTCGTAGTTAAACGTTCTTTAACTAGCTTATCAAGCTACCACGAAATACCTTTGTGAGTAACACGACTGTTACTTTTAGTTAATTGATCACGCAACATTAAGAAGAGCAACGGTAAAGGTGAAGCAAAGATAAAAACTAGAATTCTATTCGGCCCAAGGTCAGGTACAAAAGTTGGCTGACTGCACAAACTCCAAAGTTGTTAGGGTGTGGGTCTGAGACAGATACAGTATACACACATACACCCATCCACTTCCTCGCCCTCAACTGAGCGATGTATTTTGAGACCTGATAAAAGATCCGAATGATAGCTTCTAGGGACTATTACATAATTATGACAGCATATGTGTGACTATATATACCATTGTAACAGTGTATACACGAGTCAGCGAGCAGTTATTCTATTCCGCAATGTTAAACATTGCAAAATCAATTCCGCCCACAGAACTAGTTTCATTCAATGCCGGGAACTCGATCGTCATTCAATGCAACAGATTCACCCGTTATCGGCCGAGTTTCGTCAATTTTCTCGCCACGCAATTCCTGAAATTGGATCGAACTTCTAGAGATTTCGTCGGATCAATGCACAGAAATCCAGAAATCCGGACTGGAATCGCTTACTTATTCCAGAAACTAATTTGCAGTCACAACAGTATGCGTGAAGGTGTAGCAGTGCTTAGATTTCCGCGAAAGAGAAATTTCGAAAAATACTGAAATTTTCCAGCACCATTCATTGCCACATAAGGGTTCATACAATAATACATCAATTAATTACAACGCATTTTCTGAAAATTTTATATAGAACCGTCCATACAATCAACTACACAAGAAGCTTTGAAAGTTTTCGACGTTCCTAGACACCATACTACATATGCGAAATAAATAATAGAGAGATAACCCGTGAAGCAACGGAAAAAACTTTCAGGAAACTCGCACAATAACCGCGGATGATGGTACAATTTATCAAATAGAAGTGACGTATCTCAAGCGTGCAGCGAGGACACAAAGCTTAGAAATCTCTGGGTAACCTTATATATTACTACAGAAGATAATCTACTACATCATATATAAGTAAGAGATATGAAGGGTAGAAGAAAAAAAGAAATTATAGAAGTTTCGAGTTACTTTTAAATATTAGTACACAAGATAATTTATACTATTATATATATGTACCAATATATGAAGGATAGAAGAAAAAAGAAATCATAGAAGTTTTGAGTTACTTTTAAATATTAGTACACAAGGTAATCTATAACATCATATATATGTAACATATATGAAAGATAGAAGAGAAAAAGAGATTATAAAAGTTTCAAGAAAATTTCAAGTTAATTTTAAATATTAGGGTGTGGGTGTGGGTTTTATACACACCTAGTTTTACATCCACATCCTATTAACAAATCAGCATGAAAACTTCTATTAGAAATCGAAATATATTATCATACTGGATAATTTGTCATTATTACATTGAAAGAAAGGTGGGTGTGGGTGAGTAAAAATCGTTACTCTTTATTTACACTCACATTCTCAAGCTGGTTCCTAATACCTAGTGGTGGTCCCCACAACCTTTAGGGGATTGTATGTTGATAGTGCTTAAAATCGGTGCGGGGTGAATGGGACTACAGATCTGTCTCACATTCCCACCACCCCTACACTCACACCCACTTGTTCCCCTTGTCATGAAATACATCATTAAAAAAGATTAAACTTCAATATCATATGTGATTCGACGAATTTTTGTGAAACTGGAAACTCAGTATTTTAGTAGTCAATATACTCCGTTTTTATCAAAAGATATGAGTATCGCATAACTCGAACAATATTTGAATGAATAGAGACAAAAAATACGTAGATATTGTTTCAATCATAAATATGTTTTTAATGTAATTTAATCTTTGTAAATTATTTTTTCTCTTAATGTGCATATAAGACAGCTATGGATGAGAGTGTGTGTGGGTATGAGTAAGAGATGCATATAGCTCACTCACACCCATCCTCTGGTATATTAACATTATTTTTCATGTGCAGTTTCAATCGATTTGGATACCTACAGCAGATTCTTATGTTTCAAAAGAAAAGAAACACCTATGAATTTTTTATATTAATATCGGTTACATGAACGTTTTCCACATGTGTTGCATTATCAGCAATTTCACAACCAATGTTCAATATTTTACCATCTTGAGGGTGTGGGTGTGGGTGATGGTTAAGATTATACTCACACCCTCAAATCTGAATCAAACTTAATTCAAATATTAAAGACTCATTTTTAATTATTATATTTATTAACTTTTTTCGTCAAAATAAACAAAAATACTTTCACAAAAATTTAAAGATTCATTTCATCATCAGTCTCAACACATTTAGTTTAAATCAATATCAAATTTTTGTATTCGATCATTTAAACAATCGACAACATAGAGGTTGCCTTGAGCATCGAATGATAAACCTGTGGGATAATTGAGCTGATTTGATTGTTCTCCTTTTCCATTTCCACCAACAACAACACTACCTTCGCAAGATCCTTCACACCAACGCATTATTCGATGATTGGAGGAGTCAGCCACATAAACATTACCCAAATGATCGACAAGCACTCCATAAGGACGAGACAATTGTGTTAAACTATTCCCAAAACCATTTCCACCAGCAACAACAATACCTTCTTTTGCACCATCCATCCATTTCATCACACGAGGATTATGATAATCCGATACATAAACTGAACGGTCTTCATCAACAAAGATATAAGTAAGCCAATCGAATTGATTGAGATGGTTTCCTTCTCCATTTCCACCTGCTACTGTTATTCCTTTTCTCTCTCCTTGTTTCCATCGTCTCACTTCATTCTTCTTCCAATCAGAGACATAAAGATCTCC